TCCATTTGTTAGTTAGCAAAAAGTTTAAATAGAGTAAACTATGACAAATGTAAAGGTTATTATAAAATATTGCAATAATTTATCATTCAAAGCAATAGAATGACCAAAATTATGAGTTGTATGTATTCAGGGTTTTGACCAAAATAATTAAAAATATTCTTAAAAACAGTTAATTTAGTTAAATACAAGTGAATTAGCTTAGAAACAGTTATATTTAACGTATTAAAGTTTATTACGTCAATTACTACTTATAAAGAGTAAAACTGGCATTTGGTAACATTTTATATCATTTTTAAGCCTATTTTGTCAAATTATAAGTAACTATTTAAGTAACTATTTGGGCTGTTTTTCGTAACTATTATAGTGACTATTTTGTGTCTTATAAACACCTATAATGCAATGCTCTGATAATAACTTATAATTTAATATTTTATCTTATAATTTACAAATTGTTTCCAATTGAAATTACTAGAAAATTATTTATTTTTATTTAAATGTATTTATAAATTAAATGATATGTTATAATTTATGCTAATATTGAAACACAATTATTGTGTTTAATTTATAATAAAACAATAATTTATTATTTATTTCAAATATTCTGTGATTTGTTGTTCAATCAATTTGTGTGCGTTTTTCATATCCTGAGTATCGACCGGACTCGAGGCATACATATCACTGCAATGAACGTAGTTATCAATCACAACGGCTTTTGTGCTATTATTGAGATCATTGAGAACACTAATGGCCTTCCAGGGGTCGTGCGATCCGTTAGGGAACACAACGTTAGTTACGTTTGGCTTTAGGCCCCCGTATGTGGCGACAGTCCGGTCGACCCCTTTCTGTATGGTTTGGGCCGTGATTTGTGGACCGAATATATCAGTGCACTGTTGGGTATAGTATTCAATGGGAACATTATGACCAAAAATACAGTCCGAGTAATCACTGGACGTGAAGCTACCCAATTGAGTGCACGTTTGATACATCCACTGTCTTTCTATTAATGCATAAAATATAATTCATAATTAATATTGAAATATTTTATATCGATTATAAAAATTTAAATCGATTTGACAAATTGTTAACAGTGTTGTCATACAATTAGATAAAAAAATTTAAATTATAAATCATTTCATTATAATCACTGGTAATAACTGACAAATCCAATAACTTGATAAAATCATGATAAATTATTCCTAGATAATATTTATATAAATAATTATGTTAATTAATTGTTTACCCAATTTGTGTGGATTAATAGTTGTATTTTTGAGTTTCGCAAACCGTTCGGAATAATTAACATAATTACAGCCGAAGGTATTGTTAATGAAGGCCCAGTTCTGTAGTTTCGCATACCTTTCCAGTGGTGTACCGCCTGAGGGGTCGTTCATTGTTATACCAATTATACTGGAATTTAGCATTTGTTGGACAACACCCGCGACGCTCCACATCATGGCCTCGGCTAACCAATGATTATCATTAATATTCTTGCCGTCAAATGATTGGCACAAATTCAATGTTTTGCGTAATTTTATCACACCTTCCGGTGTTTTCAGGAGGTTTGCCATTTCGATGTGCGCTTTCCTATTAATTATAGCAATACATTGGTATAAGTAGTGTAATATTATTACATAGATAAATACAAATCATACCTGATATTATTTGAAGTCTCCTTACCCAACGCCTCGCCAACAACTTTTAAATATCCCATATTATTGACAACATTCCCGACGGTTGCGCTCGAGGCTATGGCACCGACAGCTATGTTGGGGTACTTTTGTCTAAACCAAGACACTAGAGCCCCCGCATACGAGCCCCCGAACACAACCCATTTGCTGTTTTCAAGCGATAACTTTTTGGTCAAATACAGTGCGAACTGTTCCGCGTCTTTGAGGGCCAACTCAACGGTTAAATATTTTAAATTTTTTGTTGACAGGTCTGGTGTGGGCACTGATCTCCCGTAATAACGGTGCTCTAATATCACTGCCAAAGCGCCAAACTTTTTGGCCATTTCCATCATGTACATTTTGTTTGTGAGCCAAAACGTGAAGGCCTCACTTTCACCACTAATCAATAGAAATACTGGTCCACCAGTTTTATAATGGGAATCCTCGATGTAGTAGAGCTAAAGTAATACACAAATAAATACACAAATTTTATATATTATATGTTATGCCTGTATTTTACAGTAAAACACGACTTACCTGTTTGTAAGTTCTGTTATCATGTTTATTGAAGTGATCCACTCTCTGCTCAAACCAATGGTCCTCAAACTGAACCGTAGTATTCATATCAACCGGTGGTCTAACCATACCATACCTGTCCATCGGTCGGCCCATAAACATATTGAAACCCAAATTGGGTTCACAATAAACATTGCAAATGAATACAAAACTTAAAACAATAATATTATAAATCATTTTATATTTATGTCTTAATATTTTAAACAATAGAAATTATGATAATTTATATTTTCAAACTCTGACTTTATATATATTTTGGTAAATCAATTGCAAAACAGTTTTAATTCATTGTATTATTTATTATTAACTGTAATTATATATTGAAAGGTTTATGATAAGATTAATTCAAAAGTACCAAACTAACTTATACAAAATTTAAGTATTTACAAGATCGGATTTTTGATATGTTTTGAAATTAGTTACCATCAAATATAAATATTAAAATGCTTTTAATAGATTATATTCTAAAGTCAGATAAAATTCTAGAACAGAATTTCACTTTTTATTAGAAATCAAAACCTTTACACTAAAAATGATATTGTTTTTTGTATTGGTTATTCTATTACACATTGTTATATTATTTTTAATTTCTGCACTAAATTCACCTTGGAATTTACTAGATATGATAGTTTAATGTCGATAAGTGGTTGGTTAGTCATCCTGAGATCTGTACATTTGAGACTTAAAGCTTACATTAAGCTTGATGAAATCAAAATTATCAAGTGTCCCATCTTATCTACCTAAATTTGTACTAGGTTTAAGTACAAATATAGATAGATATGATTGAACACTTGATAATTTATATTAATTGCTCTTGTAGTACAATTCAATACAGTCTGATATTATCAATTTAGTACAACCTTATACGGTATACAGTATATACGATGGCAATATTTAAAGTTGTAAAAATGCAAAACTACAATTATTTCAAGTATTTCAATTGATAAATATTATTGTGAATATTTAAATTTAATTAATAAGTTAATAATTTTAGAAGTTGAACTATAAAATAAAATAATGAAACTCTTAATAAAATTTTTATAATATTTGAACAAGTAATATATTTATTTAAACAATATATTGTTAAAAGTTGATTGGTAATTTATTACATTTATTTCAAATATTCTGTGATTTGTTGATCAATTAATTTGTGGGCGTTTTTTAAACTCTGGGTATCCTTCGGTGTTGATCCCCACATATCGCCGCCGTGTGAGTAGTTTTCAACCATAACAGCTTTAGTACTGTTATTAAGATCTTTAAGTATACTGAGTGAGTGCCAGGGGTCGAGTGACCCGTTAGGGAACACCACGTTTGTTACGTTTGGCTTTAGTCCCCCGTAATAGGCATTCGTCCGGTCGACCGCTTTCTGTATGCTTTGTGCCGTGAATTGTGGGCCATATATATCGGCGCACTTTTTCACATAAAACTCAAGGGGAATACTGTGACCAGCAATAGAGTCGGGGATATCACTGGTCTGGAAATAACCCAATTCTGTGCACATCTGATAATACCACTGTCGAGCTATAAATCCATAAATATTTAATCATATTCAAATATTAATTATAAGCTTAATGTATAATATTTAAAATGCTAACTACATACCCATTCCTTTATGATCAATGGTTGTGTTTTTTAAGATACTGATCATATCGTCATACTTGAAATCACTGCAGGGAAGTGTTTGATTCACACCCTGTACTCTGGCATACCTTTCCAGTGGTGTACCGATTGATGAGTCGTTCATTATCTTACGGACGCGATCGATATTATTGTTATATTGAACAATCATTGCTATATTAGTCATCGGTCCCTGAACTAGCCAACGATTATCGTTGATATTTTTGCCGTCAAACGATTGGCACAAATTCAATGTTTTGCGTAATTTTATCACACCTTCCGGTGTTTTCAGGAGATTTTCTAACTCGATGTGGGCTTTCCTATCAATTATAACAATACATATTTTACAATATAGTATGAAAATTAAATTGCTGTAATATATTAAGTCATACCTGATATTATCGGAGCACTCCTTTCCCAGCGATTCGCTAACAACTCCTAAATAGTTTGGATTATTGATAATAGCTTCGACGGGTGCGCTCGAGGCTATGGCACCGACAGCTGTGTTGGGGTACTTCTGCCTAAACCACGCGGCGAGAGCGCCCGGATAGGAGCCCCCGAACGCAACCCATTTGCTGCCTTCAAGTGATAACTTTTTAGTCAAATACAGTGCAAACTGTTCCAAGTCTTTGAGCGCCAATTGTGTGGTCAAGTATTTGAGATTCTCAGTGGACAGGTCTGGTGTGGGGACTGATCTCCCGTAATACCGGTGCTCTAAAATCACTGCCAAAGCGCCGAACCTTTGAGCCAATTCTCCCATATAAGTGGCATTTGTGAGCCATATGGAACTGACCTCATCTTCACCACTAATCATGAGAAATACTGGTCCACCACTTTTATAATGAGAATCCTCCACATAATAGAGCTATTCATACATTTAGTACATGTTATTAATATAACAAAAATTTTGTCAATTATAATTTATAATGTATTCTATATTGAAATGCAATTTACCTGTTTAAAAGTCCTGTTGTCCTGTTTATTGAAGTGATCGACTCTCTGCTCAAACCACTGTTCCTCAAACTGATCGTTTGTGTCGCTAACAATCGGTGGTCTAATCACACCTAAGCTACCAATCGGTCGACCCATAAACAGTAGGGATCCCAAATTGGGTTCACAACAAACATTACATATAAATACAAAAACTGATATAAGAATTACTAAATTCATTTTATATTTATGTTTTGAAACTTAAAACAATAGGATTTACTATGATTTATATTTGCAAACAATGATCCTTGCTTTATATACTTTATTAAATGAGTTTCAAAATAGTTCTCATCCATTGTGTAATTAATCAAATATACAGATATACTAATAATTGTGATAAAACTACTTAACACGAGTGCAAACGGTTCGCGATTTCAAATAGTATGAGTATATACTGCACCTTTTATACTAAACTTTTATTTATTAAATCTTAATAAATATTTTGCGCAAACACCCTGACCAGTTTTAATTCACCGATGTTACTATATTCATTTTTACTATTACACCTACGTTTTAATGGCCGTAAGTGTTGATAAGCAGCAATTAAAACAATTTTATTATTCATTAATCAAACAAACAGATTATAGAAACAAACAGTAATCGGCCCGGGTCGGCTTTCGGGGTCGGCTTTCGACCGCATTAGTGCGTCCAACACAACGCCGTGAATGAACCGATCCGTAGCCACCGGGCGCTCACCGATTGTGCCGTTCAAAACAACGCCAAAACATTGAATAATAATTAGTGCCAACTATTGTGTGTACATTAATTATATAATCCGTATACTCATAATGAATTATATAGATTGATTCTATAATTTATTATAATCATTAAAGCTAGGACTGTTTTTAATATACAGTATAATATCTGTTTATTACTTTAGTTTTAATTTTATAATTTAACTGTATATGACGTATGTAGGTACTTATAAATACTTATTTCAACATTTAATTTGATAAAAAATATTTTTATGCAAATAATTTAATTTACCGGTATTTACTAGTTTGTACTAATGAACGAAGGTAATTATTAAAATACAATATGTAATAATGTATAATTTTATTTGTCTAATTAATATTTTTATTACTTTTAGCTTAAATGATCTACAATGTAGATTGTTTAATGATTGGCAATGATCTAATTACATGATAATTGACAGATTATTAGCAATGATCTACATAATAATTGTAGCAATATTATGTATTATGTGCAATATTATGTGCAATTATTATGTATTTATATAATAGCATTTGTCTAATATACATTTGTATTAGGACAAAACTAACATATTTTATATAATTGCATGTCATAAAATATTGATCTAGAACATTTTGATTATTTACTAACAATTAAAATTAATTGTGGAAAACAATTTCATTTAGTATCACGTAATTGTAATAAAACAGCATAAAACAGATACAACCATGGTTTTATTGAAAACCACTCATGTATTGCCGGAATCGTTGGCCATCGGGAAAGCGGGCACTCATTTCTATAGCACTGGACTTTCATTATATAAGCCATACCTCAATGCAAATAGAGATGCCATTAGAAATCCTATCTGTGTATTTATAACATCTCTGCTATTTATTATACGACAGACTATTTTAATTATTTTACCGGAACAACCGGAAAAATTCTACAATTACGTTGGCGACCCTACTCATTTTGCTGGTCTTATTGGTAGTATTTTGGCTATAAATACATATACGCTATCATTATTGTCACAAATACTCAATTATTATAACTATAAGACTGGCGTAAAAGCCGCTGATTTGCGTGTATTTCAAATGCTTTGCGGTTTAATAACACCCTTAAGTGTTGGCATTCATGACATACGTCTCGTCAGTAAATTACTTTCATTTTCACGTAAATCCATATTAATTGGCGAAACCAGCAATAAGTTAATGTGCCCTGTTGTGTTTTTTATTTCATTTACCGTGTTTGCCATTAAGCAAACATACTATGAGATGATATACTTGGCGTTACCCCATAGTATTCTATGGGCATTCGCTTCTACCTATGTTTGTACAATAATTATATGGCAATTAATTTACTACTTTATTATTACATATTATTTGATATTGAAATATATATCAATTAATCAAATGATTGTCCATTTTACGGCAAATAACACGTATTCAAAAACGCGAAATATAATGCATTTATTAAATAAATTATTTGTAGAAATCAATGATTACAATAATATATATTGGTCAAAATTTTTAGTTATTTATTGGGTATTAATTAGTGGCGTTTGCAGTACTATTGCATACGTTATGATTTTTAGCAACACATTAATATACGCCCGATTAGACGTCGGTTTGGTTGGCATACAATTCCTATTGACTCTGTTATTTGTAATACACTTTTCGGCACTCCTTTACAATCAGTCGGATATTGCATACCATTCGTTGAATTTGTCACTTATTAAACACCAAAGAAATAAAACATCAAAAATAAAGGTTTATTTAAAATCAAGCCATTAATTATAAATAATTGAATTCATATTTATTTAATGTTTGTTTAAATCAATAGTTAATGTCATTAATTGAAAGATTGGGTAAAAAAAGTGTTGGATTTTATTGCTGGAAAATTTTTCTCATTAATAGATTCCGTGGATATGAAGTTAGTATTAAATATTAATTTAATTTTATATTGTATTTTATTATAATTAATTTTATTTACAAAATTATTTTATATCTATAGATTCTTTCAATAATAAGTTTGTTATTTATGAAACTCATTGACATGTCTAAATAGACGTCATTAATATTTTACTTTTCATGTACTTTTACATAACATTAACTTTTACTTCAAATATAGAGCTATTATAAAATCAATCATTTCATGTATTTTTATCAATAAATAGTGTAAATAGGGTTGCCAGACCTCCAGGAACGTCCTGGAGAATTCAGGAATTTGACAATTTCTCCAGGCTCCAGGAAGGGGTCATTCCTGGAGATATAAAACTCCATTAATTATTTTTACTGTAAATGATTTTTAGAACATTATTTTACAAA